CACTAATACAATGCAGCTGGTTTATGGTTTCCTTGAGGGAGAGGAGGGAGGCAAACTCTGGGAAGCAGTAGACTCAAGTTTAGTTTTTTGGGTTTTGGTTTTTTTTTTAAGATTTATTTATTTATTTTACTTCTAATTTTTTCAAAAATTTTATTTATTTGAGAGAGAGGGAGAAGGGCTCCATACCAGGACCCTGAGATCATGACCTGAGCCAAAGGCTCAACCAACTGAGCCACCCAGGTGTTCCTCATTTATTTATTTGTTTTAGAGAGAGAAAGAGCACAAGCCAGCAAGCAGGTGGGGAGGGAGGGGCAGAGGGAGAGAATCTCAAGCAGACTCCCCGCTGAGCATAGACAACCCCCTCCATGGGGGGCTCCATCTCACAACAAATGAGATCACAACCTGAGTCGAAATGGACAGTCGGACACTTAACCGACTGAGCCACCCAGGCACCCCAGTAGATTCAAGTTTTGTGAGACTTAAGGTCATACAATTTGGGAAGGGACTCTATTTAAGAAAAAGATAACAAAATGTGAATACAAAAATAGTAACAGGGCCTTGTAAGGGACTGTTGTGAGGGCCCCTGCATCTAACTCACTTTCAGAGCAAATCTACTTCCACCAAGAATCACTGAGGTTTGAGCTCCAACGGACTCTGGACTGAGAAAATGAAGTTACTAAGTGCAGATTGTAACCGAGATCAGTACAGGATGGGGAAAAGGGAATAGGCTCCCTGTCCACTAGCATGAAAAGGGTCCAAAGAAGAGCAGAGGCAGGGGCTTAAGCCAGGAGATCAGAAAAAAACATAAAAGGGCTCAAAAAATAGTGCAGTTGCCGGTGTGTCTGGTATATTCCCAGTGCTCAGTAAATATTGGCTCTTCTTGTCATTAACCAGCTTGTCTGGTTCCAAAGCTTTTCCAGCTGTTTATGCACAAAAAATGTTAGGAAAAATTCCTGTTGGAAAACAACTCATCGGTTTTCAGGAAGAATAAATTATTTTGTCTGAAAATCCCTCAGTCCTAAGAGAGAAGCCAGCAACTTTTAATTAATGCTTTACCACGACAATTCTTTAGGCTCATACTGTTCTCTTCTGAAGATCCTCCCTCTGGTCAGTCAACGCTGTGCTCCTCCCTGAAAAGTTTTCCCCGTTGAGGAGGTTGTGTAAGCTTGTAAAGCACCTTAGAATTCATTTTAAAATCTGTATCTTCTTGGGTTTCTATTGTGAAACAAATAGCATTAAAAATAAAAAGCATGGCAAAAGGCAATGACGTCACATGATTCATATCTGAAAACAAGTTCTCATCATAAGTGGGATTAAAATACATCCTTGGGGAATTTTCTGGAAGCCAAATGAAAGGTTTTACTCAATACAAAATTTAACACATTTCCATATTATTGCTATGCTATAATTTATTAAACCATTCTCCAGCGGTTTGTTCTTGTTTTGCGTAGTTTCTGCTATTTTTCTATAACACTGAAAGGGAAAATCTTTGTACAAAAGCCTTTGAGCTTCTGTTGAATTATTGCCTTAGAATAAATTCCTATGAAAAGAGTTACTGGGCCAACATAGCTGATTCTTTACATTTTAATTGCTTATTTACATTGCTTCTTCACCTATCAACTTCCACCTTCTTTTTATTTTATAGAGGACAGAGCAGTATGTTCCCTGGCAGCTTCTCAAATACTTTCCCAACTTACGTTCATCTCTGGCATTATTTTCTCAGGCTATTAGTCATGCTTATTTCTTTGTGTTTAATCTGACATCTCCGAGTGAATCAGCTTGACATTGCAAGTCTGGACAAAAACTATTTTTTTCTGGGTACGGGGGCCACCAGATCTGTGGGAGCAAGTAGTAAACCATTTGAATATATTTACTTGCATACAGACACACAGGGGGCAAAGGATGAGACTGAAGCAGGGAATCACTTTGTAACCATGAACTAGATTTGGCCTTCCTCTTCCCCTCTACAGTGAAGATCTGTAAGGACTTCCCTTCTGTCTTCCCCTAGAATTCTCCCTTTAGCAATCTGACTTGAAAGACTGACCTCACATTTCCTTTGGTTCTCTTTGTAACACTTTAGAGTTGTTGAAAAAGTCCACCCCCTCATCCTGTGTGTCTTCTGATACTGTGCAATATCCCCTACATCAACAGTGACCGACAGGTGTTCTCAGCAGTGCCTCTTTGACCTTCAGATTTTTGTGTATTCTCTTGTCGCTAAACTCCAGTCAGAGGAATGGCAGTCTGTTTCCATGTTAGCAAGCGGCCCGGAGAGTGATCTGTTCTCCCTGGCCATGGTGTAGTCAGAAGCCCAGGTGTATTAAGCGCACACTATTCCCTTCATGGATGACATTTTTCAGTCCCTCAAATGGGTTATCAGATTATTTAGAAAAGGTTTTGGGGTTTGTGTGTGTGTGTGTGTGTGTGTGTGTGTGTGTGTGTGTTTTAAGTGTAAAATGACATTAAGAAGAGAGGTGTTAAAAAAAAAAAAAGCATGACGTTTGGAGGTAGAACATGTGGCTTCTAGTCCTGTTTCTGTGGCCACTACGGAGACTTGGCCAGGCTATAAAGTGTTCTGAGCCACAGGTTTTCCTAAAGGATGAGGATAATAATTACTTTGTTTGTTGAGAGAATCACATGGTACAGGGAAAGTTGTCTCCAATATTGGAAATGCTCTTCACATGTATATCAGTTTTTCTCCTTACTTTATCACTGTCAGCATCCAAAATTAGGATAATCTTAAAGGCGAGATGGCCATAAATCTGGAAAATAAAATGCAGTGGGTTGCACTCTGCCTCATACATTTTAAAATTAGAAACTGTGTTTTTGGATGATCATGAAGGATGTAATCCAGGGGTAGGTGTCTGATCTGAGCTGTGTCTGGAGTCCAAAAGCCGAGGCTAGGCTGGTATTTGAGGAGCCAGCATAGGAACAGAGTTGAATATTCTTATACTTTTTTAATATATTACAAAAGTCCATATTGGGATGGAGGGGAATGGTTAGGAAGGCCCATACTGGGACAGAGGGAAAGGGAAACAGTGACTGAAAAGTAAAGGCAAAAACATTCTGTCCAAAGCCAGGAAGGCAAAGGGAAAACTAGGAAATAAAATCTGGCCCCAAGCTCAGACATGATGGCATCTGGAAGAGAATTCCAAAATCATCAGTGAGCCAGGGCCACCTTTACACGGCTCTAGAACTGGACTACGTAAGAGACGAGCACAGAGACACAGCTTTGTATTCGTCGTTTCATTTTTCTTGATACTTTCTTAGTATAGTGACAGGAAAGGTGATTGAGGAAAATCTTTGGGAAATCCATGCAGACCGAGGGCGATTCTGCAAACATATAACCAAAAGCTTTATTGAAGCACTTATCAATGCTCTGACTTGTGATAGTTCCCATTAGTTAATCATTCTGACAATGCAACACTAAATCCAGAGTAACTGGTTGCTTTGGTTTCCTGGACCCAGTTCTGGTGCAAGTGTGTGCTGGGGGTGTGGGCACTTCCCACACCAACAAGCAATTCCCTTGACCAGCTGGGTGTCCTGTAATTCAAATCAGTTCTGGCACTTTTAACCTGGAGATGCCACAGGTTAAGGGTTCAGTCCTACAAGATTGCCCCCCCTTTCCATTACCCCCTCTCATGCCAGTCACAAGCCCAGGCTATCACCTGAGCTTCTGACCAACCAGCTGTAGATTGGAGGTTCCAACAACCCCCTCCTTGGACTTCTTAGCCAGTCCCATGTCAGGCTGTTACTTAAATTTCTGACAAGCCGGCTATAAACCAGAAATTTTCGTGATCCCCCTCCTCAGGTTTCAGTAATTTCCTTGATAGGCTCACGGAACTCAGAGAGACATTTTACTTACAAGATCACAGGTTTCTTGTAGGACATAACTCAGGAAGAGCCAGATGGAAGAAACGCATAGGGCAGGTATGTGGATCTTCTGTACCCTCTCAGGGTGAGCCCCCCTCTTGGCATCTCCATGTGTGCAACAATCCAGAAACTTTCCAAACCCGTCCATGTGGGGTTTTATGGAGGTTTTATTACAAAGGCATGATTGATTACATCATCGACCACTGGTGGTTGAACTCAGTCTCCAGGCCACCTCCCCTCCCCTCCCAGCGGGCAATGGGGTGGGACTGGAAGTTCCAACTAATCCGCTGGTAACCAGCCTCCATCCTTAAGTGCTTTCCGGACTCGGCTTATTAACATAACAAAAGGCATCTTTATGACCCTCAACACTTAGGAAATTCCAAGGGTTTGGGGAACTCTGAGCCTGAACAGTGGAAGAAGACCACATATATCAAAGAAATATATATATTCTCATATATATTTGGTCATCTATATTACTTATATTTGGTCATCTGAATAACCAAATATTTATTTGTCTTTTAAATCACCATATTACATGGATTAGAACTGCAATTAGCATGGCTTCTAATAACTTAACAGTGGTGTTTGTACCATAGGTATAAGAGCCTATTGTTTAGGTGTTCTCTAAATGTGGGTTATTGAGAAAATAATCATTTGTTTTACCCAGTCTCCCTCTTTTTCTTCCTATACAAAATCTAACTCTGTGAAGATTCTTATACTTTTCTATATATAATAGTATGTATAAAAAGGAACAATATTTAAAAGACAAATGATCAGTTAAGACTAAAGCATTTGTTAGTAACTTGCTTCTTTAGGATCTTCATAAATACACACATATACACACACACAGAGAACTTATAAATATCCAGACCTAATGCTGTAAACAACCTTAGAAATTCTCAGACTGGGTTGTGATAGAAAAAGTAACAAAAGCAAAGTAAACGCTAGGAGGATTTTGGTTGGCATCAGAGAATTTAAAACCTAATTCAAAGTGGCTGATGTGATAAGACTCACATAAAAAGAAGTTCTGAGACGAAACAGGCTAATTCCATCTCTCAGAGATATTGTCTAGGACCTACATTCTTCTAATCTTTCATGACACCAATTTTTAGAATGTCGGCTTACCTTCTCTCGTGCCTATAACATGGCTGTAGCATTGTTAAGTACCACACCAGACAATTGTCCATAGCAAAAAGACACCATGGTTTCCAGTGTTTTCTTTGCCAAGGGTAAAAAACAAACAAAAAACTGTTCTTAGAAATCTCCAGAAGACCCTCTTTCATGATAATTGGCCGAAACTAATAAACAACACGCACCTTCCTCCCCTCCTTCTCCTCTACACTGTGAACTCTGTGAGGCAGGACCTGTGGATTCTATCTCCAGGCCAAAGCGCATTGTCTAGAATTAAACACATGCTCAATTAAAGTCTATTGAATAAGGTAATCCAGTCCATCCACTTGGCTCGATTTAATGAGTCATTTTTATTCAAATACTAAATATTTTGAACATCTTTTTTTAAAAAGGAAAATTAAGAGGAAGGCCTCTATCCAGGATTAAAAATAATTTTGCTTTTGTTGCACTTTGTTTTATTTCATATTCATTTTGGGACAGCAAAAAAAGAAACTTAGGGGAAAAAATGATTGTTCCAGGGGTAAACAAGTCTTTGATACCAAGTCCTTATATCACTGCCTATTGAACACCAGGGGCATGAGGAAATGGCATCATCTCAGGTTCCAGTTTTAGAAGGGAAAAAGGAAAGAAACCTTAAGAGTCTTGGGCCTAGGGCACCTGGGTGGCTCAGTTGGTTGAGTGACTGCCTTTGGCTCAGGTCGTGATCCTGGAGTTCTGGGATAGAGCCCCGAATCGGGCTCCCTGCTCAGCAGGGAGTCTGCTTCTCCCACTGACTTCTCTCCTCTCATGCTCTCTCTCTCTCATCCTCTCTCTCTCTCCAAAATAAATAAATAAAATCATTAAAAAACAAACAAAAAAAGAGTCTTGGGCCTTGCATGCTCTACTAACAGTTATTCTTTACTAGTGAGGCTTGTGACTTTGGTCAAGTCAATTAATTTAAGTCTCAGGGTCCTCATCTGGCAAATGAGCAACACTGTCTTTAGCTACCCACAGGCATAAGTTGATGGATTAAAAAAAAGATGATTTCTGTGAAAGTGTGTTGGCTCTGAAAACGGTCATTCAGATATAAAGGCTCGTCTTCATTCACCATGGAGCAGACTAACGTTGGGACTCTTATAACTTATCTTGGACAAAACATCTGGTACCTTCCAGGTGTGGTGAATTGCCAGTTCTGATACAAAAGCTGTCTGAGCTATCCTCCACAATGCAGGCAGTTCAGTACTGACTGTCCAGCTTAATGGCATATGAATCTCTTATATCCAAGAAGCCTCTCTTCTCTTTCGGCATCACCACCGGTCTCTAATAGAATGTTCAGACATAATGCTGCTCAACAAAGCTTTGTTAGTGAAAAGAACGATTTGGAAACACACACACACGGACACACACACAAAGGAAGGCAGCACATTACAATGACTAAAATTGTGAGCTCTAAACTGGGATTCTCTGTGTTCAAAATCCTTGATCAATCTACTTAATCCTTGCAATCTTCGGTTTCTTTTCTTCAGTAAAATGGATATAATCATAACAGAGCCTCTGCCATGGGTTGTCGTCAGGATTAAATATAGGTAAAATCCTAACACCATGTCTGGCGCATGGTAAACACTAAATGAATTCTAATTTATTGATATTATTCTTTTCCTTAGAGGTTAGGAATTGCCTTCCTTTTACCATTGACAGTTAAATGTGATGAAATCCTAGATTAATAGGCCATATAGAGGAGCAGGTCATGTGTGATTTAAAAGCATAACAAAATCATGCCCGACGTGATCCACGTGCCATCACAAGCATCTAATGCGTGTTACAGGTCAGCCACTGCAGGGAAGAGTAGAAGCCTGCTTTACCATGGGAACGCCCTCTGCAGCCACCGCCCTTCCTCAGCCTGGCCAGTTAAGCACACAATCATATCTTTCTGTTTGCTCCTGTCCTTGTTCATGCTCACCAGGTACAAAGACAGGAGACTGGCCCAGCACAAGTCGGAAATAGAGTGTTTCACCCCCAAAGGGAGTGTGGGGAATGGTGGGAGAGCAACAATGAGCAGGTAAGCAAACTGTGAGTGGCCTGAGGTGGTGTGAACTCAATGTCCGCAAGCTAGAGGAACAGGTGGCTCCCTGGTCTAGGTCCTCGCTCCACTGTGTACCCCATGCAGTGTGTCCAACCGGGGCCACCACTGGTTTTCTGTGTGTGTTTGATTTGCAAAACCCATGCCACCCTTATGTGAAGTGATGGGAGCCTCCTGTCCCAGATGCTGCTGTTTCCCAGGGTCGTGTGCTTTGCATGTCTGAAGCCTTAGCTCACACTTGGTTCTCCCATGGAGTTTAGCTTATTGGTCAAATGCTTCTGGAGTTTGCAAAGTGGAAGAGATTGGAGGAAATTCACATTTCGGTACTGACCAATCAGTAAAACAAATGTAAAAGCCTAGGACTGGTTCTGAGGGAAGGACTGTAATGAGGGAAGATTCCAGCCCTGATCCCAGACAAACCTGGGTATTATTCTTTTTTCAGTATAACATCATCTTACAGCCAAGGGCAAATGCCATGCCAAACTAGTGAGCTGTAGAGGCAAGAGGCTCTTCATGAACTGAAATCAGGAAAGCTAGTCCTCCTCTAGCTACCATAGCTTTGCAGCTCCTTTCTTTCTCTGTGTCTGGTGGCCAACACCCCCTGTCGCTGCGCTGTGCATGTCCCTTCCTACCAGGCACTCCCAATTGAGCTGTGCCCAGTCAACTGGGTTATTTAGAACTATAAGCATCAACTTAGCTGTGTTGCATGAAGTGAACGTGCTTTATTGCATGGGACCGTGTTTTAAGAAAAGGGCTCTGGAGATAAATACTGTCAAGATTGGCATCAAACAGTTCCAGAATCTCGGAGGAGTCTTGAGCTGGGGAATCATTCACCATGAACAACTCTCCACTTCTACTTTGTTGTGGCATTTCCCCATCCATCGGTGGTACAAAGGTGTGGAAGGGAAGCTCCTGAAAGTCAGCCTGGGTGAAAAAGGAAAGGGGAAGTTCAGGAAGTACAGCATGTACATGTGTGCGTGCGTGTGCGGAGACCAGAGCTTGGGATCCAGCTCCCCAGCAAGAAGAAGACCCTATGGAGCCCTGTTGAACTTTCACCCCAAATATTGTATTTGCTTCCTCTGTAGGCTCCTCTGTAGTAGGCTCCTTCTGGTTTTCAAAATAATGTCTAACTTTCTCCAAGGACCACCACATTACACAACTTCTGGAGGGGGGCAGTGGAATTCATGTTGCAGTCTATGAAAATGGTGCCTGGAACTGTGTAGTATACAGTCTGGCCAATCTTTTATAGCAGCCCTGGCAGAGAGGTTGGCCAGCTTCATCCATGGCTCCCAGGGACAAGGCATTGAGAACATGTGTACCTGTGTAGACATATATATATGCATGTATGCGTTAGTGTATCTGATGTACTTATGCCCGTGATCCCTTTATACAGCCATCTTTGGATCTCAGTCTATCTGGAAGATAAGCCTCAGTGGATCATTTTGTGGGAGTAACTCAACAGACCGCTATTGGGCCTTCTGGTTTCCTTTCATTCATATATGACAAAGTGCCATAATTCCTGTTCTTGAAAATCAGTCAGACAGCACTGGAGTTGGCTGGACAAGATGAAATGACTGTATTAAATGAATATGGGGCTCTGTCCAGAGTGACTTCTGATTTGAAGCAATTGTCTAGGACTGGACTTCCCAAACTTGGCTGACTATCAAATATACTGAGACAAAATCTGTACTGTAGCAATTGTCCTAGGTCATTCCAATTTATACCTATAAATCGATATGGTGGAGTAATCCATTTGTCTAGGAGATGACACAGAGCTATTCATGGTAAACGTTAGGTCTCCATTGTGTCATGCATTGGTCTTGGCCGTGTTCAGTCAATGTTTGGAAATCTCTGATCCAAGCAGCCCAGTGATTGATTACATTTGCTCAAGGCTGTCCTGATTGAGTATGGGTAAAGAGAAAGTGGGACACAGAGGGTAAGGGGACTCTAGGTTAATGAGACAAGATTCCTCGGGTCAGGTCCAAATCTTCAGAGATAGCAATTCAATGTATCTATACTGGGAATAGTACAAATTTCTCTACAACAGCAAAATAATAGTTAGCTTTTGTTCCCTCACTTGTTTGGATATAGCCAAGGTAATGACAAGGCTTATTACACTGATACATCCAGGTGAAGCCCAGGGGACTATTGCATGCCCTATTAAGGATAGTTCTCTTGGAATGACCACCTCAGCCCCATGGATAAATGTAATTCACTGGAAACAAATGGTCTTCCTGTCCTACTTTTTCTTCCTTCCCATTTATTTAGCATTAAATAAAACAAGATAGAAGAGAGTGAAAGTACTCAGGAGGGAAATCAAGTCCTTCAGTGTTGTAAAGAGAGCTTTCCATTAGGGAGGAGAAAATGCCTAGAGACACATGAAAGGAGAAGCCAAAATGTCTAAGACTGTCAAATCTTCTTTTCCAGCCTCATATTTGTTTATACAAATATGCACACATACATACACAATGACGTTTATCCAGGAGAAATAAGTTGAAAATGAATATTAAGAGAAAAGATATCAGAGAGGAGACAACGGCAATGTAAACCATTTCTAAATAAGACGGCTCAGTAGTTATTTCCAGTGTGCTTCCTCTGGAATTGAATAGAAGGGCTGGGGAAAGAATCACTACTCTGCTTTTACAGATACTTTTGGCATCAGCTGTGGATGCCCTCCTTTGTATGAGCTCCCACTGCCCTCCCCCTCATTGCTTCCTAGAGTCAGAGTCAAGCATATTTACTCTGCAAACATCTGGGCTGGTTCTGTAGCCTTAACCAAATAATCCATCCCAGGGAGGGGCTAAAGGAAGCTCAAACAACAGCAGAAAACCTGGAGTGTTGCCTTGCATCTCATTTGCCTATGTTTTCTATGCTGAAACTATGCAAAGGACAGGACCTGGTGAATTCAGACCAGGGGTGATTCTTCCAGAGCCAAGTTACCTGGCAGGGGAGGGAGTTTTCTGGGGCATGCTGCCCTAGAGCTGAACACTATCATCTCACCTGAAATGATGACAGGGCCTTAGAGACACTCGCTCACTTCTCCCTTTTCCCTCTACCCCAACATTTGGAAAGGAATAAGAACATTATATGTATCCCTAACACTCTAGCTTCCTGAAATATTATGTTGTTGTTTTCCTTTTATGCGAATTTTTTCCCCTTCTGTCAGATTCTAGCATAACTTGTCATCTTTTCATATTCCCACAGTGGACAGTCTAAGTGTGTTTCAGAGCAGAGACCTCCTGATTGCAGGAGAAGTGAAAGACAGTCCTAAACAGGGAGGTGCTCTAAGAACGGGAAATTCTCTAAACCCTATTATCGTGTGAGTTCATACCAAGATGGTCCACCTCTGAGATGGCTAAAACCTCAACAATGAATGTTATTATCTCCTGTCTCAGCAGGGCCATTCCATCCGAGTCCTCATTGGAGTCTGCATTCTGAAGTGCTTATGTCATACCCCATGAAGGAGAGGCAAAAACATTCTGAGTCTCCCTGTCTCTCTTTGGAAAAGGGCTCCCTAATCAAATGAAATAGATAGATCTATAGTCCCCCTCCGGTGCTTGAAGGAAGGAGGGTGGTACGTGGTTATTTTTACTGTTGCAATGTCATGATATCAGTTACGTAAGGTATTAATCCTCAATCACTTGAGTAACTGATTTTCACCTAGTAGGTGTAGCATTTAATTTTAATGGGTATAAATATTTCATAGAGCCTTCAGAGAATCTGGTAATGGTAACGTCATAGTCATGAGGAACTCAGATTTGAAAAGCAATCCTAAAATGTGATGTCTGTGTTAACACTGTTTTGCCTTTCATTGATTCAATTATTTCTTCCTTCATGTAACACTCATTTTATTAAGCAACTACCACGAGCCAAGCACTTACAAGACTCTGGAGATAAATGGGTAACAATGACTTGACTGATGTCCTTGAAAATCCATAGTCCACAGGGGAACAGAATAAAAAACAAACAAACAAACAAAACCACAGATAATAGCAATGCAAGAGAAACCCCTGTCCCAAAGGAAAATTTATGTGTCCAATTAACTCCTCATTTGATATCAAAAACTACAGCTTAAGCCAGTGCAAATAGTATTAAGAGTAATATAAACTAAGTAATAGTCACCTGAACTGAGTGTTCAGAAAGGACTACACACAGAGTTATATAAAATTCAGAGCCACAGAGAGAAATGATTTATCTTTCTAGTATGAAACTAGCCAGTTTCATAGTGATAGAACTGCTGCAGTAGTCTTCTCTTCATTCCTCCCCAGAGTCAGTTTCAGATTAATGTTCTAACTTACATTTAGAGATATTCTAAAGCAAGTAAAAATAATCACTTATTACCCTTGCTGTAATTACTATGCCTCAAACACTGCAGCGGTCCCTTCCCATTGGTTATGCACTAAATTCTCCCAACAATGATCTTTCCATGGTACAGATGAGGAAAATGAGGCTCAGGGATATTAAATAAACTAAACAGTAGAGTGATTTAGTGAAAATTCTGAGGTCAAAGACTTTAAAGCCTGATTCTAGCACTAGCCAGTGTGACCTCGAAGCACCGTTTTACCTCTTTAATCTCCATTGTCTGTAAAATGAAGATAATAATAGAGCACTTCCCTTCCTATATGGTGCTGTGAGAACTAAATGAGATAATGCAAGCAAAGCACTTAGCAGGCATTCAATAGATTCTATTTAGTATTACTGTTTCCCAAGGCTACTCATCTTAGAAAGTCCTTTTATGGGGTCTTTTCTACCGTTCTCCACCTACCATCACCCTTGTTTTCTCAACAACCAATTCTGGAAAAGTATGTAGAACAAAATCTAGTAGTATCAATGAAATTAATTCAATGATATAATTTCTCTGCCTTAAAATTCATGTTCTCCCATGGTTCTCCCTGGTGTTTAGATACACCAGACACTGGCTTTAAGTGTCTTACCTATATGGTCTCGTACTTCATCTTTAAAAAGGTAAACAATAAAGT